TATCCAGTTTAATTTAATTATAACTTAAACTTCTACAAAAATTGCTGCAAATTTATCAATTATAGAGCAACAAAACGTTATTTTATAAATTATAAATTTTTTTAAATATATTTTTCTTTTTAAAATTATGAATCTTGTTTATATAATAACAATTAGATTTAACTCAATTAATTTAATTATAATTTATATTTGTATAAAAAACTTATTTTTTTTTTTGAAGAATAATAGCACGTAGCAGCATTCAAAAGTTTTTAGGGTATTAAAAATATGTGTAATACGTATTGCCGTCTCGTAAACATACTTTTTATTGTAGTGTTCGCTAACTGAAAAAGTAAAACGAAAAAAAAATGGGGTGTTGAATAAAACTGTGTGCGGTATAGAATGTATAATAATAACATTTGAATTGTTTGATAATCTCCCGCGGAATATAATTCAGCGACGTTACGCACGAATTTTACCATTACCGGTGACGTTTATGACAGTTTATGGAGAAAAATAGATTACGCAAAGCATTGTGTACGATGACGGCTGTGATGCTATTTTGCCAGCAGTGAGACAATAATAGGGATTAAAGATAACAATTAGAGCCCCGAGAGTGAGATGGAAGAAGGAACTGGTGGTGTCGCTTCCCACAGGATTACAATGCTGATTCACGACGTCGCGGCTTCCTCCTTCACCCCCAACCGCCACGAAACAACGCCCGGATTACCGACGTTATTATCGCGATATTCGGTGCAAATTATGTAACACCAGCCACCCAACCCAAACCCCAAAAGTGGCACGCCTCAGCGAGCAAACTCAAACGAAGCAGTACTTAATAAATCGCGGAGAAGAAATAAAAAAAGAATCGTTGTCTGGAGGAGCATCAAAGGAAAAACAAATCGAGGCTTAGCGCCTCGCAGAAATCATCCAAATCATTTTCAGCACTGCGAGGATTAATTAAATATGCATTAGCTCCTGAAAGAAATTGGGGTCGTCTGAAGAAGAAAACAAGAGAAGTGAGAGAGTAAAAAATACAACAAAGAGCTTTTTTTCTATCCATCAACATTCATCAATCAGGATTTTATTTTTATATTAAGTAACAGTTACAATGCAAACTTGGTGTAAACTTGTATAATTTTACATGCTCTTCATATGTGGAATAGTTATACCGAATTCCTTTCCGTGTTTTGCTATGCATTCCGTGATCAATTTCGCCACTTGGCATCCAGTCGTTTCACCAATTTCCTTCTCGCACTCGTTCATGACTTCTTTCATTTTGGTCAGTTTGGCCTCGTCACCTTTCAAAGCTTGAGAACTGACCTCAATCGCTCCGGCTTTATTGAACTTTCCGTCTTTCATGATTTTAATGGTGTTGTAGAGACACTGGATCATGCACAACCCTTTTTCGGATTTGGGCAACTTGTGCTCTTTGAGTGCGGCTATGTCTTCATCGGATGCACCCTCTTTTTCTTTGCAGTCGTTCACTATGATCATTGCAGCTTCGCGCAGCTTTTCTTTGCTTACTTTATTGTCTTCGGCTTGCACCGAAGCCAAAGTGGCAATAACCAGGACATAAACTGAAAGCATAAAATTATAATTAAGTTCATAGTAATCGTCGAAAACCGTGTTTATGAAACGAAACCCGTTTTAATTATATTTTTCGAAGCAAACGTGACTCACGCAACAAGGAAATTCAAGCTTCCTCAGAGCGCACTGCATTTCCAACTATACAATTATCCTCAATTTGTCAAAAGTTGTGTCAATTTATAATAAGAGTTTCCGATTAAAACGCATTCAATTACAAAACACACTTTTTATATTACATGAGTAATTAAAATACAGAATAAACATTGACTTATTAGAGAATCAATGATTACTTTAAACATGTTATACTATAAATATATTAATTATTGTCACTGCTTCAAATAAACTTGAAATTTTACAAAATGTACCTTAAAATCCTGTATTTTTTGTTAAATTTGTTGTTTTGAAAACACAATCAATTTTTAACTTATTTTTCTCTAAAACAACGTTATAGCATTACAATTTTAACAAAAATTACAGGATTTTAAGATACATTTTTTTTAATTTCAAGTTAATTTGAAACTGTGACAATAATTAATAGAAAGAAATAAAAATATATTAAAATTATAATAAAGTATAATAAAAAATCGAAATATTATAAAAAAAATATATTTTTGACCAAATAGTTAAATTAAATATTCTACTTCTTAAAAAGCTTATTATTATTAACAGTCACATATAAACAAATAAAAAAAAATATTTTTCAAAGAAATATAAGAATATTATTAGAAATCAAATAAATTTCTTATTTTATTTAAAAAATGTAATTGTTTATACAATTTAAAAACTATATAAAAAAAACTTACCAAATGTAAAATAATGCATTGTAACTAAAGTTTTGGTTGCGACTGAATCGAATGATGTTGAATGCTGGTGTTTGGGTTTATATACGTCCGTTTTATAATTGATTTTTAATGAAACGGAAACTACGGTTCCAAATCTATTCATCTCTTCTGCTCATTAAATCCGATAAAATCTGTCCAAAAATAAAAACATAATAATGTACATACATTCCCAGTAATGTCGTGTGTTCTCTTGTTGTTAGCATCATTGTATCATCGTCGCTTCGTCGTTTGGGTCCAACAGAGCGGCAATTACTGCAGGTTAATATTTAAAGAAGACACGAAGTGGAGGAGTTTCAGATACAGTTAGCTGGTCCAATAAATTAAGTCGCATCGCGTTCGTCGGAAGTACGTTCGAATTATAATAATAGATGAGACGTCGCTTCTATTAAACCGGCCGCTTTATATGAAGTAATTTATTTATTGTTCTGCTACTATCTTCTCGTTGTTTTCGCTTTTTAGTTGTTGCTGGCTTATGGTGGCATCGCGTGAACCGAAGTCACTTGAAGGAAGAGAAGGAAGGGCAAGGGACTTGATAAGCTACGTTGCGGGGCCGAGCATAAAAATACTTTATCTTCCACGATTCAATGCATAATGAAACATGGAAACGGGGCGAATGAATTGTGTTTGCGGCCGGGAATTAATGGTCTATATAATAATTTTCCAATTCTTGTATTTGCTCGTGATTATTAATCGCCGTCTAATTGATTTATTGCGGTTTGATATTGTCTTTTGTTTTGTTTTCTTTGCGCCCTAAATTGATCTGTTGGTTCTCTTTATTACCGATATATATATAGACTCTTGCACACATACACCGCACAAAACACATTTATTCTTGATCACTTCATTTTCTTCAATTCATCTAAATCATTTTTTATTGATTCTTCTACAGTAACATAAATTTTATGTAATAATATCAGAAAATATCAGAAAATAATAGTTTGTTTTGGATTAACTAAAAAAAATTACTCAAAAATTAATGAAACTTGTTTTTCAATTCTACAAAACTTGACTTAAATACAATTTTTATAGTTTTTTAATATATTAGGTTATGTGTAACTTTTTTTTTAAATTTTACCAAAAATTGAAAAAATCATAATTTACTTTAAAAGTCCACAAAATTCAAAATAAAATCTAACATATTTAAGTTTTTTTACTATGACAATCTTTTTAATTATTCTGATAAAATATTGGAAAACTTCAAATTTAGCAACTACAATGGTTTATTTAAAAAAATGATTTCAAATTGTACAAATCTTTGTTGAAATTGCATTTATATTGATATTGTTCATTAAGTACATTATTTATTTTTTAATATAAAGTGTACGAAAATTAACGCAAGATTTAACGCCCCATTAAAGTGTCAAATTGTTTTTTTTTTTGGGGTTTCCAATACTTTACTGCGCAAATGGCGGTAAATTTAAATCTTGCGTTAATTTTGGAACACCCTTTACAAATATTTAGAAGCCAAGTCGATGGACAATGACAGTGTTAAGGATAGCAGCAGATTCACAGTCAATGGAAATAATGGAATCGCAGAGCATCAATATACTGAAGTTAACCTACAAGACGGCAGCCAACAAATTACAGATGAATATAATGGTAAAAACTTCCATTGGGAAGTTTACCAAAAAACAAATGTCTAGATTGCGGATGAAATAGATGGAATAGATAGAAATGAATAGATTGTAAAATAAACACACAATGACATAATAATAAAAAATATGGTTTGTTTATATCAATAACAAATATTACACTTTTCTGTAATATTTGTTATTAATATAAACATATCATTAAATTATACATTCCATTTATATCTAAAAAAACTGTAATTCTTAATACTTAACTCCTTGAAGAACGGTTTATTTTTAAATGTTGCACAGAAATTTTATTCACTTTTATCCACAATTTACGAACAAAGTAGTTTTATTGTAATTGAAGTCATATAAAGTTTAAAAAAAAAGTTGCTCAAGTGTTTAATTGTATGGAATATTAATTAAATATCTTGGACTCAATGTTACATGCACTGCTTCAAGTAGATTTTTTGAGGTGGTTTAAAAAATATCTCTTCATATATATTTATTTATAAAAAATGGTGAATAAATCAAAATTTTCTAAGATGAAAAATAAGTATTTTTTATTTTTTTTTTGTATTTATGTGTATTTACGTAAATACAAAAAAAAATAATTTATATAATTATACTAAAAGAAAAATATTATTAAGTATTACCTCTTTTGATGCCCAGAAAGACCTATAGTCCTTTGTAGCCGTTTGCAGCAATTCAATTTAGTTTTATTTTTCTTATTATGTTATTTTTTTAACTTTGTATTATGTTTATTATTATAATATTTTTTTAATTAAAGAAAATTCATAGCTATTTCAATAAAAAAAAATAATATTATTAATATTTGTTGGATGATTTTTATTGTTCAATTTTTGCTGTGTCGTTTTGGCCATATAAAGATAGATATATTTCTGGCATTCCCCCGCCCAGAGGGGATAGGTCTGGGATATTGTGCGGGAATTGGATGGGGCGGCGGTGCCATTGTCGATTTGCGATCTTTTGCTTTTCATTTGCATTGCAAAGCGCGGCCGCAATTCGGCGCCAGCACCGTTGGCCGCGTATAAAACTTCGCCCGGAACTGGGCCCCGGGGAATCCCCGAATCGGTTTCCGGGTTTAGATTGAGTGAATTTCCCCACATCCCGCATGATGATATTACCTATACACGGCTCTCTTGTTTAATTCCATTCAAATCTTTAAAGCGCCGTTCGCTAACAGTTCTCACACACACACACTCACACACATCCCAACGCAAGAAGATTACCTTCCCTTACAAAATATCAATAAACATTGTTTTGTAAAATAATAACATTAATATTTATATACAACAAAATTTTTGTTTCTACAGTTTAGATTCTACAACTTGTCCAATTTATAAGTGAATCCAACAATTTTATTTTCATCATCCAAATTTAAAATATGCTACTATTTTTAACCATTCGATATGATTATTTTAATATTATTTCCTGCATTAAATAATATCAATATTTTCTGTTGAAGAAGTCATGCTAAATTATGATCAAGTTACTTATTCAAGGATTCAATCGATAATCCTTGAATAGGAAACTGGTATCACTTAAACCAATCTACAATTTTTCGTCAAATCAAAATATCTAAGTCCCAATTCGCACTTTTATTCATTTTTTTTTATAATAAATAAATATAATAAAAGAAATCCTTCTTGCTTTATAAGGGTAACAAAATACAGAAATAAAATTCAATATTTCTCTTTTATATTTTATAACGTTCCTAACAATGTATGATTTGTGCGGTTAACAAAATGGAAGAAATTCGCACGATTTTCAGCACGAGTAAATTAATGACTATGCACGTTAAGTGACAGACATTTTATTTCGCGCATTGTGCAATTTACACGAACGGATTTTGATTCGTCGTCTCCTTAACTAACCTTGAGTTTGATGGTGTTGAGTGGTTTTCAAGTAACGTCTGGTTTTAAGTGGTAGAGCCGAATCTGACGAAAAAAAAATGTTAATTATAGCAATTATCACATTTTTTTTTCGTTTCTAACATACTATGATAAAAAGATTTTTATTTTATTTAAAAGAAAATAAAATCAAGAATAATTTTGTTTCTTTATTTAATTAATTAATTGTTAATAAGTAAAAATATAATAATATGTATGTATGTATTGTAACTAAGCAAGTATTCTATACATTACATAAAATAATCATAATAAATAGATAAAATAAGAAGGAACTTTGTAATTTCTCTTTATTTTTAGAATAATAATAATTTAAGTCGTAAGTACTACGAATGGGTCAAAATGACCCACTTAATATTTGTTTTTTATTTGCATTCTATTGAAATCGAATTGTGGCTGTTGATCTTCTAGCTATTCTAGTATTTTCTAGTGCACTTTTCAGTAGGAGCAAAGCAGTTCAGGCGAGAGGTACATATGTTATTGTAGAGTGTATTTTGGGTCAAATATAGCAAATATGTTCTTGAAATATTTGGATTTTAAAGTGGAATAACTTTGGTTTCCCATGTAACAAATCGGTACATCACACTGTAAATGAAAATACAAACAAAAACCTGATATCATACGTTTCTATAATGAGAAGTTATGTTTCAATGGATTTATTTCATTGTATATTAAATATCGCTGGTATCAATATTATAGAATAATTCTAGGTATTCTTTCATTAAACAAGTAGAACATGGAATGTATTATCAAATTCTGATTGCAAATATCGTGCAGGTTAAAATGTCTGTTGAACCACAACCTAATGAACGGATTCGAACATCTAAAAGCAAGAGGTTTTTTTTTGTGCAAGCAAGAGTGACAAGAAAACAGCAGCGTTTTTTGATATATGCAATGTGTTCTACTTGCCCAGACTGTTTTGAGCAATAATAATTGTATTTAATATGTAATAAACGGGTCATTTTGACCTATAGGTTGTACTTGCGTTTCATTTACTTATCCATGTTACGTGTTAAAATAACAAATCTTGACAATATTTATTCGACGTATTTTATTGTTTTTAATATAAGATAAATTTTAATCCAAATGAAAATGATAAAACATTTACATATTGGATAAGAAAGTAATAAAAATGAGGAGATTATTTAAAAATCGCCTAATAATGTTATAAAAACGCGTCATCCACGTAGTCTGTTGTTGCTGCAAAACAATTAAAAACATTAAAGTAATCCTTATATGGATGGTTATTATACGCCCATTTTGCGTATTCGACAGCAAAGTAATAAAAATTTTGAGATTATTTGAATAGTATATTATATAGTTTTGTAAACATTTTATTTATATCACGATAAATCAGATGTTGCTGCTATAAAATATACATAAAGAACCAGATATTAGTTAATTTGATTTTATATAATAGTTGTTATTTACTAAGGAAAATTCTGTTCGGAAACCGAGGTGTTTTTATTTTGTGTGATAATTTATTTAACTTCAA